GAAGGTCCCATACACCTCAGTAATTGGAAGTCTGATGTATGTCATGGTTTGTACAAGATCAGATATTACTCAAGCAGTGGGAGCTGTTAGCAGATACATGAATGATCCGGGTAAGGTACATTAGGAAGCAGTCAAATGGATCCTCAGATATCTACGTGGCACCACAGGTAAAGCACTTTGTTTCAAAGGTGGAGATATAATACTAACAGGTTATATGGATGCTGATTTAGCAGGAAATGTTGACCATAGGAAAGCACTATAGAGTATGTCTATGTTCTAAGAGGTACTGCAGTGAGTTGGGTTTCACAACTATAGACGATAGTTGCTCTCCACAACTGAAGTAGAATATGTCATTGTTACAGAAGCCAACAAGGAAATGGTTTGGCTTCAAAAGTTTCTTGGATGAATTAGGCAAGAAACAAGAAGACAATATCTTATATTACGACAGTCAAAGTGCTATTTATCTAGCGTAGAATCCGTCTTTTCATTCCAGAACGAAGCACATACAGATGCGATATCATTTTATCCGGTCACTTCTGGAAGATGGAATTTTAAAGCTTGAAAAGATCAGTAGAGCTTAAAATCCGACAGACATGCTGATAAAGATGACTACTGACAAACTGAAGTTGTGTTCAGCTTCAGTTAGCCTGCAATAGTATCAAGATCGGAAAAGAGCTACTGCACAAATCAAGATGTGAAGACAGATTGAAATCGATCTTCAAGTTGTTGGGCCACCAAAAGCCACTTTGCTGGCTTTGTCAAAAAATCCAGCACCGAAAGAGCATGTGGCTCTTTTTTGTCAAAAAGATCATGCCATCGAATTTCCAATCACCTCCCATCACCGAATTCGGTGCCGCATTTTTTGAAAGAAAAAAGGTGGGCGAGCCCTACCGCGGGCTCCGCCATAAAAATATTGTTTTTTATTGGCGCATAGTATTTTCCCAAACACTATAAATAGACCCACAAGTCTTCAGAAAAAATCATCCCAGAAATAATTCCTCTTAGAAGAAAAAGGGAGAGAAAAGAAAGGCTTAGAGAAAAACCCTTGTGAGAGAAAATTGTGAGCAATTTTCAGAGTGAAATTGTGTTGAGTATTTGTGAGTGTTTGTAATTATCTCCCCTTAGTGAAAGATCTACAGCAGCCCGTGGACATAGGCAATTTTGTGTCGAACCAGTAAATCTTGTGTGTCCTCTTATTGCGCATTTATTCGCTTTCTTGTAAATCTGGTTATAAGGGAATTCGCGTAGTTTCCTAACAGTAAGAACTTTGGAGCAAGGTCGTGGAAAGAGAAAAACGTAGCAAAGCAGTGAGGCACCGCTAAGGCTATTCGGAGCTATATCGGCAAAAAGCAATAAAAAATCCAATTTAAATATGTGTGAATATTCAAAAACTACGAAAAATCTAAAAACTCTACAAACGCATATTTGATGATTTATAGAGATCCTAAGCATTAAACAGACGTGTAACAATCACACAATATTAACAAACTACCATACAGAATGAGACAGTGGAGCTTTAAGGAGGTGTCGGTGTTTCGAAGAGGAGGTAGAGTTGGAGATAGAGGACCTGCATGAGGAACAGAGCAGGAAAGCTTTGATGAAGAATAGAAAGGGGTTAGCGCTTCAATGACAAGAGGATGATGAGAGGCGATGGAGCTTAGATGATGAGAGGCGATGGAGCTTCGACAACGAGAGGCAGTGGTGAAGCTCCAATGATCTTCGACGATGAGAGGCAGTGCACAATTTTCAGTTGTTTTTTTTTTTGGAAAAGCGGAAAAAGAGAGTATTGGAAAAGGAAATGGACTTCTAAAAAATGGATCGGCTTCATATCGAGTACGAAAAAAACCCACTAACTTATGAAGTTTTGTTAGGTTTGGGTTGGCACAAACCCGATTTGTATTTTAAAGCATTGTATAGCTTTGTAAAGCACTTTGAAGCGCTTTTACGTGCTATTAGCCGTTATTTTGGGCTGATAGAGCCGATGCCACTAAAAACCATGGCTTTCAACCATAGCAATGCAGTCATAGGCCGCTACTACTACGGCCGCTATGTGCAACTATTTACAACATTGTTTTAGAGTACATATATAATACTCTATGCAGAACGATAATTTATGAGATTTTCAAAGATGACCATAATCATGAGCAGTAGTCTACAAAAATTTAGATCCACAGATATAAAATACTCCATGCAGGACAAGAATTTTTTATTTTGTCGAATATAGCCAAAATCAAGGGTTAAATTCCACGAAATTTATAAGTTTTGGAGTACATATAAAATACTACATGCGCAACAATACTTTGTGATTTTATCAAAAACAGTCAAAATCATAGGTTATATCCACAGAAATTCAAAAAATTTAGATTACACATAGTACCCTATGGGGAGAGGATAATTTGTGATTTTGTCAAAAAGGGTCAAAATCATAGGTTAATATCTACGGAATTTCAGAAAATTTTGCGTACATATAGAATAGTCCATGTGGGATAATAACTTTTGATTTTGTCGAAAACGACCAAAATCATAGGTTGTAGTCCATAGAAATTCAGAAATTTTGGACTACATATAAAATAACCCATGAAAGACGACAATTTGTGATTTTCTCGAAAATAAACAAAATCATGGGCTATAGTCCATAGAAATTCGGAAAGTTTAGCGTAAATATAAAATACTCTATGTGGGATGATAATTTGTGATTTTGGAAAACACTCAAACCCATGGATTTGTACATAGAATTCAGAAATTTTTGGAGTACACATAAAATACTCTGTGCATGAGAATAATTGTGAATTTCTCAAAAAAGCCAAAAATCACAAGTTAGAATGCATGGAAATTCAGAAGTTTCTGAGCACATATAAAATACTCCGTGGGATGATAATTTATGTTGTTGTTTTTTTGGAAAAATATGGAGGAAGTGGATGGAAAGTAGAGAGACTGAGAGAGTGTGTGAAAATAATAATTTTAACAAATTTTCCACTTTGAAAACTGATTGTCTTATCCCTTAGGACTTTTATCTCGCGCATCTTCTCCAAGCAAACTTTGTGTATTGAACTTTACGACTGCCCCCACTTTTGGCATGATTTGTATCTGAATATTACACCTTTCTAAATAAGTTTATGATCTTATAGAAAAAAAAAAGTTTGTGACCTTGGGAAGGCAGTGTAGGTTAGCCTAAGTTGAGAAGCTGTTGGATAGAATTCATCTTGCATGTACAGTATAATACTATGATACATCGTCAACTAACCAACTACGCAAACATCTGAATAGCATGGAAATAACAATAGTTTAACATCAATAAAAACATACTATGATCTTCAAATACGAGGTCTACATAGTTAAATCACAATTCTTTTACTTTGATTCTAATATGTGTTCTCGTTCACGATTTTTAATAATAATATTGTCAAGGAATAAGCTTAACATGGTCACCATATATCACTTTGTATTCCACTTTATATATATGTGTATATATGCCAAGCAAAGAGTTTAAAAAATGTCTTACTTCTTACTATTCAATTTTCATATAAACCGAAAAATGTGCATAAGCAATGTGGACTTCATGTTAGCTGCCACCTCAACTTTCCACAATTTAACTTTCCGGCTGCCAAACAAGATATGCAAATAGAAAGGAAGGGGAAGTACTTTCTTCAGAAAGTTTCTTCTCTTCACTTCCTACTTTAATTTGCTAACGTAGGAAAATGATTGCAAAGAAAACTGTGTAAAGAAATCAAGAAATATTAAAGTGTCGCCAGATTTTGTAAAAAGAGAAGAGTTAGAGAACAAGATCGAAATGATCAGTAGAATCCTTGCTCCCACACATACTACAATAGTCAGTACGGAGGAACTACTGTTTTGGAGGGAATATATTCCGTACAAACAACTATCAAATTAGAACAATAAACATTTCATAACATCTAAGCATTGAAATTTTGCAAATTTTTATGGCCAGGATATCTTTTTATTAAAACAAAACATAAATATAACGGCTGTTTTGTGAACAGTGGTAATCAAGAGATTGAAGTCAGCGTTAATCTATCACAAGATCTACAAGCGATTCAAACAAAATAACAAACAGGAATTGCGATAAAAGTAATAAAAAAAAATGGAAACCTGAGGCCACCGCCGGAGACGGGAGATCGGTCGAGCTGTGGAGCTGCTGCTCCGCTCTTAGAAGGGAGAGCGGACTTCATCTGCTCCATCGTTCTCTTTTCAGAATTAAATCTTTTTTCGATTCTTCAAATAAAATACGGAAAACAAATTAATTGGCGAGACCACGGGAAACTAGGGTTTTATTTTATTTGACCGGAGTCGGATCGTGTTATCGGTTCCGAGCAACAGGGATGAGAATAATCTGGCCCGTAGCATTAATTAATGATGATGAAAGGGACGGACGACTCCAGAAACCAACCAAATCTAGAAACAAAATTAGTAGAATTTGGCATCCATTTAGAAGGGGTAAAATTAAATGGGAGGGCGAAGGAAATCGAAGGTTGTGGGTACTTACTTCCTTTCTCTCGGGGTTCGTGCCGAAGGAGGCGGCCACACGATGAGGTGGCGGGATAAGAAGAAACTGGACCCAGTCAAAACTTTGCTTCGGCCTCTCGCTTATACATGGTCTGCTCTTTTCATGTATAAGAGAGAACATAGTCCGAAGACTCCGAACAGCTCTTCGGCCTTCGGCTCGGGGGGGATGGAATCAAGTAATAAATAAAACAAAGCAATGAATGAATTATAATGGGTACGAGAATGAAATGTTCATTTTTACGTTTACGTGCTATTAGATAATGAAACGAGAACGATAAAAATCACTTTGTTTTTAGCATGGATAATCAAAAAGAAATTGTGACTTATTTAGTATTTAATTTAAATTTTTCGTTCCCACTTAGATGATGAGTAGTAGTAATGAGCATTCTAGTTTCAAAAAAGTAAAAATAGATATTCCATTCTCACTCATTCTTGTTTACAAAATGAGACCCTAAGTTTTATCCCTCTTTCTAAGTTTTTTTATTTTTTTTGGCAAAGAAGCCTTTAAATTTTATTCATCTCTTTCCAAGAAGCTCCTGACTTTTTATTTTTGATAAACACCCCACCTCCAAGTTTTGCCTCTCTTTTTTTTTTTTTTTGGACAACACGACCTCATTAACAAGAAGACTTGAGGGCTTATTACAAGAGTGATAAAATTTAAGAACTTCTTGGAAGGAAATGACAAAAGTTAAAGGCTTCAATGTCAAAAAAAAAGAAAGAAAAATTAGGAGCTTTTTAGAAAAGAGGGGTAAAACCGGGGGCTTCTTTGACAAAAATAAAAACTTAGGGATGTCTTAGGGGGGGAAAGAGGAAAGCTTAGAGGCTCTTTAGACTATCTTCAGCTTAGAGGCTCTTTAGACTATCTTCTCGGCTAAATACTCATATTGGTATTTTAATTCCACCTCATTTGCTAAGAAGATATTTTAATTAGGCAAACCTATTTTAAGGCATTTTAATTGATTCAACTTACCAACAAGGCTCTTTTTCTCGTTGGCGGCCAGTTTTCCGGCGAGAGCTCGTCGCATGCGTGGCACGTGATGACTTAAACTTTTTTTTAGCTACTGATGTGGCACGGATTTTCTGACGTGGATAAAACAGTTGGGCGAATGTTGTGACGCCCCTGGGTTCACACAAGGCTGCAGTCCGAGGTGAAACCAGGAATGTCAAACCTGCCATGCACCACACCGTGCAATAGCATGTTTCACCATCACAATTACTATCTCTCTAGAGGAATCAACAATAGGTGTAGGTACAAAGCAAGTAAAAGGTTCTACAACAAATACTTAATGAAATGATAGAACATCAAATTAACACATCTCCTCAACCAAATAAACTGGAATACATAGTCAAAGTCTGAAATGATTAATAACAATCTGGAGATCTCAACATGTCTCAAAGTACATAATATCTGATACAGGAAATAAGGCACACAGCCTTTACAACTCTAGAACATAAACCTCTTAAGTCTAAAAATGTCTCAAGTGGAGTACAAAATAAAATACATCTAATAAGAGGATAAATAGGCACTAGTAAGGGTCGCCCTCATCCTGCAATTCTCCGGGCTCCTGGCTCGTTACCTAAACGGGGGAGGGACAACGAGCGTCAAAGCGCTAGCGAGCAACATCACAACCAACCCCAAGGGATAGGGCTTGTTGTATATGAAAATACAGTTAATACATAATAATATAAAATCATTTATCCTAACAACAATGGGTTCTGGTATTTAGGAAATTACAACACGAGCGTAGGTACGTCGAGCGAAATAATCCAAACAAGGAAACCCTCAAGTATATACCTTGTATCTCAAATTGTAAATCCATAAATACTAAACCTGAGGTCTAATACAAGAAACAATAAATAAAACAAATACAAACCCGTCTCTACCGATAAATGAAATCATGACAAGGCCACCACAAGTGTCATGCAAACTCACATGAGTGTCATGTCCGAAAATGATTAAGTGTCCAAAACATAGACTATATAAATTAAACGTCTAACTCATGGACTGAAAGTAACGAGTGTCCAACGCATGGACTGAATATAACCAATGTCCAACGCATGGACTAAATCTAACCAATGTCCAACGCATGGACTGAATATAACCAATGTCCAACGCATGGACTAAATCTCACCAATGTCCAACGTATGGACTGAATATAACCAATGTCCAACGCATGGACTAAATATAACCAATGCATGTCCAACACGAGGACTGAATGGAATGAGTGTCCAACACGAGGACTAACTGGAATGAGTGTTCAACACGAGGACTAACTGTAAAATTATACAAAGTGTAAGTGTCGAATATATATATACACAAAAGATACACATAATCTCATGTCACACGTGCCTCGTTGTGCGGATCGGTGCTTGTGTCAAAAGTCAACTCACATGTACAGATAAATAATAAATCACTAAAATCTAACATTAAACAAGTCACTATCATTGCAATATAGTGTTAGATAATCGAGGCGACCCCTCGGACGTATAAAAGTATGCACCAAAATTAAAACATGCACAAACAGTGCGGCGGTCGACCGCAGAAACCACTCCGGTCGACCGTGCATAGGGCAGAAACGTTCTGCTCGACAGAACGCCCAGCGGTCGACCGCCGCGTTACACGCGGTCGACCACGAAATGAACAGAAGCTTTTTCCAGATTTCTGTTCTGCTTCGAAATCGATCCAAACAATACACCCATGCTTCCAAACAATATATTACACATTCTAATACATATGAATCATCGTATAATAACATCTAGCATGAAAACAAAAATCATCACTAGGATTTGTGAACTTCTATACACATGATTTAAAAGTTATAAAACAGTAAACTTGCATCAAAACTCAGAGTTCAAAAACAATTTTTCAGATCCGGATCTATTACAGAAAAGAAATTCATTTGGTGAGGTTATTTTCAAACTGAAATATTGGATTTTCGCATCATATGCTACAAGAACTATACTTATATGTAAACTAGCATTTTAGGCTCAACAAATCTCAATAAAATCATTAGAAAACCCATAAAAACGTGGGTGAAGGGCTGGGTGAGATGTCACTCGCCTGAGGGGGTTGATGAACACCCAAAAACGAGTGAGAACGGTCCTCCTTCAATCTGAGCAGCGAAACTCCACCAAAAATCCTTCGAATTAAACGCCCCAAAAACGCCAAAATCCGAGCTAGAGTTTTGAGAGGAGAGAGAGAATGGGGCTGGGGCTATTAGGGTTCAATAGAGGGTTCTGAGAGCTTCAAAACGAGTATATATACTTAGGGTAGCAATCGGGTTTGGTATAAACAAAACCCGCCCGAAACAGAACTGGCAGAACCAGGTTCGCTGCGCGGTCGACCGCAGCGACCACGGCGGTCGACTGCGCAGGTTCCTGGGTCATTCTCAGACTGGGGTTCGGTGAAAAGGCTATAACTTTCTCATCTGATCTCGGAATGAGGTGATCTAAGATTCGTTGGAAAACTCTTGAAGAGACCTACAACTTTGATCTTATACACTTTTCTAGATTCTAAATAAATCAGTGTGCAAAACATAAAAACTCTCAACTGGTCAAAATTCTCAGATTCTCACTATTTGTCATTGTGCATGTTTTGTGTATTTACACTCGTATATTCACAATTATGCATTGAATTGATCTCAAATCAATTCCTATCATACTCAAACATAAAAATACATTATTTTCATCATATAACATATTTATAATTATTTATCACATTATTTTCATCATATAACATATTTATAATTATTTATCACACTATATTCAAATTTTTGGGGTTTTACAAATCTGTCCTATTTTGGGTGAATTGAGATTTTCAGAAGGTTAATTCCTGCCTTTAAACACTGCCACAGCAGAAAATCCATGTCACATCAGCAGCTAAAAAATAGTTATCATGTGTCACGTACGTGACGAGCTCTCGCCGAAAAACTAGTCGCCGACGAGAAAAAGAACATTGTTAGTAAGTTGAATCAATTAAAATGCCTTAAAGCAGGTTTACCAAATTAAAATACCTTCTTGATAAATGGGGTGGAATTAAAATACCAATATGGGTATTTAGACTTATCTTCTCATATATAAGAAGAAATGCTATAGAGTGCCCACCACAGGGGGGGATTTTTGTTTTTTGGAGGAACGTGTAAAAAAACATATGTCGATTATCAAATTTAAATTGATAAAAATACAAATGTTCATACCGATTGCTCCCTCTATGGTTTTATATAGATGATTTTATTTGCATTTTTTTTCAGACTTAGTCATGCAATTAAGAGATGACATCAAAAAAATTCGGACTATGTACCAAGCTTGTGGTAATACTTTATTTATTATGTAGTTCACATATTCATTATTAACTACCGTTTTCTTCTTCTTTCTCTTTTAAAGTAATAAATATAATTGCAAATGTGCAAGGTAAAAGCTATCGTTTGCGAGTCTAAGTCTTCATTTGAAGGTTTCCACCTATTATATTTGTATTTGACCAAGTCTAATTAGCACTTAAATGCCTTATAGTTTCTCTTATATTGCATTAATATACCCGTACTTATTTTTTACAACATTTACATACCGTTAAAATTCTAACGATAGCACTTCCATATCTTATGTTATGCAAACATGAGAATTCTTTTTGATTTTGCATGTTACACTCACAAAGTTAATTTATATATTTTGTAGTTTGCAGATTTGTTGAATTTACTGTTACAGCTGGTCATAATATTATTTTAAAAAAGTTATTCAAAATAAGATTTGGATATATTTTACAATGAATTTTACAAGTTAAAAAAGTTATAGAATTAACTTCCAAATGTCACACGGAAAAAGTAAGAGCAAAAATCTCATGCTTGGGTAACGCAATATATTTAGAGTGCAAATTACGGAAAGTTGGGATGTATAAATATAAATGCTGTCAAAAGAGGTGAGGCCAGGGCAAATAAAAGTGAAGAAGGAAGGGTAGGACAAACTAAAAGGCTTCCAGGCGCTAATTGGCCCCTACTGGAAAAACACCCATATGTTCACCCAAAGTGCCCAGTGGGCCCAAGCGATGCCAACCCAGCCGGGCCAGCCCCCAGTAAATCTCCCCTGTTTAGCTTTCGTGTGTTCCGCGGCGCGAGATTGTTTCGTTCTCTCTCTCTCTTTTTCATAAAAAATCGTTAATTAAGCACGAGTAAAGGACCTCTCTCTTTCTCTCGAGCCACCGCCTCCTTCATCAAGCCTCTCTCTGGATCTTGGGACTTGGATCCCTAGGGTTTTCGCTTCCAATGGCGTACGTGGATCACGCGTTCTCGATCACCGACGAGGACGTGATGATGATAGACCCCCCTCACGTGCTCCAGAGCAAGCCTCCGATCAAAGAGATCGCCCTCGCTGTCGCCCTTCTTGTATTCGGATCCCTTGCGATCGTCGTTGGCAGCATCATGGCCGTTAATCAAATCGGCGGAGATAGCGCTCACGGTCAGAATCTCCCTCATTTCCTTTTCTCTGAACCCTAGTCCCCCCCTAGGCTTCCCCGGCCCTCTCGATCTCTTTATACATACATATATATACATATGAGATTGTAAATTTTTAGGGATTTTGATATCCCTTTGTTGACTCCTAATTTATCCGGTAATTCAAGAAACATACTCCCGTATTTTCTTATAAATTTGGTTTCTTTGGCTATCTAGCTGGTTGAAATTTGTATTTCTGGTCAAATCTTGGGCATATTATGTAGTTGTTTTCAACTTGTACTGAAATATTTGTTCTTTTTTTGAACAATAGGTATTTTCTTTGCGGTGTTGGGATCACTACTGTTTTTGCCAGGATTCTACTACACGAGGATTGCATACTATGCATACAAAGGCTACAAGGGTTTCTCTTTCGCCAACATTCCGCCGGTCTGAAGCAGCAACATCTCTTCTAGTATGTACATATATATATATATATTTCTTTTTGATAGTGAACTATGAAATAATTGAACTTTGTAAATTAAATTGTTACATTTTGTTTAAGCTTTCTTGCAGTAGCCGATGATGTTATGTGGAATAGAATGCATATGCTTTTAAGTAAATCTGGTGGAATATATAAAAAGTATAATAATTTTCATTAGAACAGTTCAATGTGGCAATATGTAGTTGATTATGCTTTGAATTAGATTCAGTTTTACCATCCTCTCGTCTTTTTGTAATGACAGCAAGGAGGGGGATTAAATAACTGCATTGGGGAAAGGGGATAGTAGGTCAATCTTTTATGAACGGCAGCTAATTATTTCAAATCTTCAATTCAAATATATCTTTTACATGGTCCAATTCAGCTAGTCTTTTTCTTTCGCGTTGGATTTATTTTAATGTTCTGTGCTGTTTTCTGAAGGTATGTTGTGCACGTAAACTGTCATAATACAGGTTCTGCTTGTTGCAAAGTAAACGTTGCTGTTGATAATAGTGTTAGTAGTGGGTTTTTACTTTTTAGTCCCACATTGGTTGTGAGAACACACATCATACTTCTCTACTTGTATAAATATATGTGCACTCAATATTCAACTCAAAGGAAAATTTACCCAAGACTCTTACTTTAACATGGTATCAGAGCTAGAGTTATTATTTCACTTTCAATAAAAAAATTTAACGCTTTTGCGTTCTTTTGCCAAATCTTGGCATTGCTGCTTTGCAGTCGTTTAACTCTTTTTTACGTTCCTCTGCCAGATTTTTGGTATTGCATCTTTACGGCCTCTTAACGCATTTCGCGTTCTCGTTTAACTTTCGGGTTCCATTTTAATATTCGGAGTTATATTTTAAACCTTCGGGTTCTATTTTAACGGTATTACCGTTTCAAGATCATCTCTTGATCTTAAATTTACGGCATAGCAGTTTTTCAAGACCGTCTCTCGGTCTCAAATTAACGGCATAGCCTTTGCAAGCCGTCTCTCGGCCTCAAACAAACGGCATTGTCATTTCACAGTCAGTAACGGTATCGCCGTTTTAATCCTTCTCGATGTCTCAACGTCTCAATATCGACATTAATCTGTTGTAAGTCTTCGGCGTGAGCATCAGATCCGGCCGATCTTCGAGCCACCTTGGTCGCCGGTTGCTTCTTTTTTTCTCAGATTTGACAGTCATGTATAACATTCGGGTTCAAATTTAACCTTCGGGTTCAAATTTAACCTTCGGGTTCTTACATTTTAACTTTCGGGTTTCTACATTAATTTGGGTTCTCCTTTAAACATTCAGATTTCGTTCAAGGATTATTATTTTAAACTTTAAATTGCTGTTATTATGGCCTCTTCACTGGCACCTGCTTCTCAGGCTCGGTCTAAGCTCTTTTGCACCTATTGCAAGAAGGAGGGACATCGTTTTAAGACATGTTTTCAGCTTTATTCTGAGTTACGTTCCTCAGGAACTGGTCGTAGTCAGCGATCCCCTCAGTCCCTATCCTCTAGTGCACCAGGATTACTGGTCAATGTTATGCCATCTATCATTTCAGACCCTACCATTCAAGCTATTACAGATATTAACTGTTAAATTGCAACTCTTTAGTATACCACCTCTCCATCTACCGCAAAACTCTGATATTCGCCATCAAATTGAGGCTCTTCAAGCTATTACAAATATTAGCCGTCAAATTGCGGTCCTTCAGCATACCACCTCTCTATCTGTTGCACAACTCTCTGATATTCGCCATCAAATTGAGGCTCTTCAGCATAGAGCCTCTACATCTACTGCACAACTCTCTGTTATGCGTCTTACTGGTTCTTCAGCCAACCCTTCGGTCTCTGGTATGAACGATCTCTGGATTTTTGACTCAGGATGTTCCTTTCATATGACTCGTAATGCCTCTCTTATCTTCTGTCTTCACTTCCTCTTCTCTTCCCCCTATCTACACGACTGCTGGACAATCTTTGTCTATCACTCAGTATGGTTCTATCACCCTACAAACTGACTCATCTGGTCGTCTAACTCTTGGCCTCGTCTATGTGGCTCCTCAGTTGTATTTGAATTTAACTTTTGTTAGCTCATTATGTATGGATAGCCTACTTGTCTTATTTTTTCTGATACTTGTATTGTGCAGGATCTACAGACGGACAAGACTGTTGGGGCGGACCGAAGGAAACACAAACAGTTTTTTCTGGAATATCTTCACCTTCCGGAGTCCATACATTCACGTTGTCTTGTTGCTTCTGTAAGTCCAAAATCCTCTACATTAATTTTCGCAGATTTGTACATAGACGACTTAGTTATGTGTCTCATAAAAGGCTAGAAAGTCTTATCTAATACGGAGTACTTGGTCATGTATCTTTTCGTTCCCATATTGAGTCATGTACTGGTTGTAAATTGGCTAAATTCACTATTCTATCATTTTTAACTAGTACATCTGTTTCCACCTTATTTGATTTGGTCCATTCTGATATCTGGGGGCTATCTCCTCTGCCTTTTTCATCTGGCTACTTGTATTATGTTAGTTTTATCGATGATTTCTCTCGTTATACATGCTTATCAAGTTTTCACTACGATGATCTTCACTCAATGATAAGCCCGTATTAAAGTTTTTCGTTCTGACTGTGTCAAAGAGTACATATCCTCTACCATGTGTTCTATCATGTCCTCTCATGAGACTATCGTTCAATAGTCATGTCCCTACACTCATGAGCAAAATGGTATTGCTGAATGCAAATATCGTTATATTCTCGATACCGTTCGATCCATGCTCATTTTTAACTCTGTTCCTCGTCGTTTTTGGGCTGAGGCCATTCTCACTGTTACTCATGTCATTAATATCACTCCATCTAACTCTTTTTTTGGTGTACTCCTCATAGTCGTGTTTATACTCATTCTCCCCGTTACGATCTGGTCCGCGTTTTTGGTTGTCGTTGTTTCGTTTTTTTGTCATCTCACGAACGTGATAAATTATCTCCCAGAGCTGTTCTCTGTGTCTATTTAGGAATTAGTTCGGAATATCAATGTTATCGTTGTTATGATCCCGCATCTCGTCGAGTTCATTTATCTCGACATGTTCAGTTCGAAGATGATTCTCCATTTTATTCTGCTTTCGATGATTTTAATTTCCTCCACACTACTGATCGTGCTTCTCCGCCAGCTGCATCACTCACTTCCTTACCTCAGTTCTCCTTTCGAGATCTCCCTGAAATCTCTTCATCTCTTTCTGTTGACTCTCCCTCACCCGAGCCTTCTCTTCTACCATCTGATCCTTATCCCGTAAACACGACATCACTCTAGAAAATATTGTTGACCTCCATGCACATGCATCAGCATCTCCCCCGTCTGAGGTTCCTCTTGCTCTTCGTCGAGACAAACGCCCACATGTCATGCATGCACGGTATGCTTCGGTTACTTCCTAGTCATCTATCTTTTATAATTTTCTTGCTGTCATTCATGCTACAGTTGAGCCATTCAAGAGGTCGTTCAATTTTCAGAGTGAAGACAGGCTATGGCTGAGAAATTTCAAACCTTTCGGCAAACACATACCTGTGATGTTGTTCCGTGTCCCCCTAACATCTCTTTAGTTGGCAGTAAATGAGTTTATAAGGTCAAGTATCGTCCTGATGACATTATTGAATGTCGGAAGCTCGTTTAGTGGCTCGTTTAGTGGCTCGAGGTTTTACTCAGCAACAAGGTATTGATTATAAGGAGACATTTACTCCTGTTGCTCAGATGCATACCATTCGTACTCTTCTTACGATCGCTGTTGCTCATCGTTGGCTGTTATACTAGATGGATGTCAAAAATGCTTCTCCATGGTTCTTTATTTGAGACAGTATATATGCAACCGCCTCCAGGGTCCAATATTTCTCCGGGACATGTATGTCTCATTCGCCGTGCTGTTTATGGTCTCAAGCAGCCAACCCGTGCTTCTTTTGAGTGTTTTCGCGATGTCGTGCTCAAGGTGGGCTTTATGGAAAGACATTAAGATGCTTCTATGTTTGTTCGCACTACATCGCGTGGCAGAGTTTTATTACTCATCTATGTAAATGATATGATCATTACAGGTAATTATGTGGCTGGTATACAGTATGCAAAATCTCAGTTGCAATAACAGTTTCACATGAAGGATCTTGGATCTCTTCGGTATTTTCATGGTCTAGACATTTCTCAAAGCCCGTGGGGTGTACTACTGTCTCAACAGAAGTATCTCTCGGATATTTTAGATCGAGCTGAGCTAATTGACGATGTAACTGTCGATACTCCACTCCAACAGAATATCAAACTTTGCTCTACTAATGGTGAGCCTCTATCTGATCCTACCCGATATCGACATCTTGTTAGTTAGTTGGTCTATCTGTGCATTTTTCGACCAGATATCTCTCATGTTGTTGGTATTATCAGTCAATTTGTTAGTGCTTCACGTTTTGTACATTATACTGCCTTATTACTATGCTGCCTCTATCTGATCCATCCCGTGCCTGGTTTGAGTGTTTTCGCGATGTCATGCATAAGGTGGGCTTTATGAAAAGTCATTAAGATGCTTCTCTGTTTGTTCGCACTACATCGCGTGGCAGAGTTTTATTACTCATCTATATAGATGATATGATCATTACATGTGATTATATGGCTAGTATACAGTATGCAAAATCCCAGTTGCAACAACAGTTTCACATGAAGGATCTTGGATCTCTTCGGTATTTTCATGGTCTAGACATTTCTCAAGGCCCCCGGGGTGTACTACTGTCTCAACAGAAGTATCTCTCGGATATTTTAGATCGAACTGAGCTAATTGACGATGTAACTGTCGATACTCTACTCCAAAAGAATGTCAAACTTCGCTCTACTAATGGTGAGCCTCTATCTGATCCTACCCGACATCAACATCTTGTTGGTCAGTTGGTCTATCTGTGCATCTTTCGACCAGATATCTCTCATGCTATTGGTATTATCAGGCAATTTGTTAGTGCCCCACGTTCTGTACACTATGATGTCTTGTTACGGATTCTTCGGTATCTCCGGAGTACTAGCATTCGTTCTCTTCTATTTCTTGCTACATCCAAGTTAGAGCTTTGTGCATATTCTATTGCTGATTGGGCTGGTGATTCCACTATCAGGAAGTCTACCACATGTTATTGTATATTTCTTGGTGATTCCCTAATTTTCTAACGGAGTAAAAAACAAGATGTTATTGCTCTTTCCAGCACCGAGGTAGAGTATCGTGCAATGTCCACAATAGCTAAAGAGATTATTCATCTTCGTCGTCTTCTCAGTGGTTTCAGTATTTTTGTTTCGACTCCTACTTCTCTATACTGTGATAATAAGAGTGTCATTCATATTGCTAATACTCCAGTATTTCATAAGAGAACCAAACAAATTGAGATCGACGCTCATTTTGTCCGTCAACAAGTTATCAATGATAATATAATTCTACTTCCTCATGTGTCATCGGCTGACGAGCTTGCAGATTTATTCACAAAGGCCTTACTTGTTCATCAGTTCCAGTTTCTTATATGCAAACTTACTTTGTTTGATCCAAAATGAGTTTGAGGGGAGCTGTTGATAATAGTGTTGATAATAGTGTTAATAGTGGGTTTTTAGTCCCACATTGGTTGTGAGAACACACCCCACCCTCCTCTACTTGTATAAATATATGTGCACACTCAATATTCAACTAAAAGGGAAATTTATCCAAGACTCTCTCTTACTTTAACAGTGGCAAAATTACAATGTGCATGTTAAGTGTCATGCTTATGTATGTCGTGTCATGAGTTAACTGTTCATTTCGGGTGTCAACACCTAAACAAAATCGTACGATTATTAGCAATTTTTGAAATAGATATAAATATATGTTTTATGCAATGATTCCTTTACTCTTACATCCAAGGGAAAGAAAATACACTTCCTAAAATCCCATATTGTGTTGCTCTAAAGCCTATAAGTTCTTTGGGCATACAGTCTGTTGAATACAAAAGGCCAGTATCTACTTCTTCCTGTCTGAATTGAGAGAAAAGTGACATCAAACAAATATTACAGTATGAAAGAGCAAAAGGAACAGTGGTAAGAGACCTGTGTAGTTTTATCTTTCCTTTTTCCGGAATTTTCTCTCTGATTAGTTAAGCAGGTTAAGAAATCACTAGGTGAAACTATGTAAGCAAGTGCAAAATTGCATGTCGTTAGAATCATCTGTTAGGGCTTTGTTGAGTCCTAACCTGTTAGTCATATATCCCCTGCTTGTGTTTCAGCTTTCAACTGTTTCTAGTATCACCCGTGCAGTGTCCTGCACAGACTTAGTCCCAGTGTTTAGGGACGGAGTCCCCAAACTAATCCTTTTGGTACTAATTCAGATATGTTTTTACTTGAACTTGATGTGGGGTATTTTGTGGATTTTGTATTTGCAAACAATTCCAGATACAGGATTTGTTTACAGCCTTAAGTTATATGCATAGTGTGATTCGTCTTGGAGAAGCGAATTTGGTAGGCGACAAGGGTTTTGAGATCTGAGTCTTCTGTATCACCCTTTTGATTTTTTGAAACAGTAATATTCTGTCCGTGGAAGTAAGACATCCTCCAAACCCTGTTAAATCTGTGTGCGTGCGCGTGCACATGCTTGTTTTGCTTTGTTATTTTTAGATCTTGACCTTGAATTGTGTGTTTCTTCCTACCAATATGCCCCACAGTCTCACTGCTCATTTATGTATTAGAACATGCCTTGCTGTTTTTAAACATTGTTATACATGTGAAATAATCTAATATCTGTGCGATGTACGTATACGTCTTACGTTATTAGACATACAAAATATATCTGCAGTTTATCTGTTATTTGGTTTCCGATGCTGAAGAACATCATTTACATGAACCTGCTAAGCCTAGAGAATGCAAGATAGAAAAGTTTCCTGTCAATTTCTCTGAATGCAAGATAGAAAAGTTTCCTGTCAATTTCTCTCCTAATTACCACTTGGGTGAGGATAGTCAGACCATAGCACCATACTAACTGCTATGTGTACTATATTCGTGTTGCTCCATTTGTTGGGATAGAGCTGAAGTCATGAGTATCAGTAAATCTTAGAATATTCTTGAGGCGAGAATATACACTGATCGGGATGAGGTTTGATTTAGTTATGGATGGTTCACTTCCAAATTCTAATATGCTGGTGAAAATTATGGCCCCATCATGGCTAGTCTTTGGGTGGGGGGAGGGGGGGGGGGTGGGTGGGGGGATGGGGGGGAGGGTGTATTTGGAGGATGAGAGCATGGGGGAAGCAGGTAGGAATGCATTTCTTTTCCCCTCTTTCTGTTCCTCTTCTACAAATAATCGTTATATAATTGGTTTCTAATGAGATTCTTAGCCAAGGTAAAATTTGGGAGTTAATAGCGAGCTCTATTTAAGAGTTAATAGCAAGCTCTATGTATCGCATTACTTAGTAGCACATGGCTGTTGGCTGATC